CATTACTCTACCACCGTGAATTTTCTAACACGCATCAGTACTTATACATTGTACTCACTCTAGATAACCCAAAATCCTAGCATGAAATGTCCCTCCTAAGCTAATTAGATGTTTCCTCAAAATTAGCTCGAAAAAAATCTTGATCAATAATTTCGGCGATTAGCTTGGCTCATTTATTTCGATTTGATCTCAATTCAAAGAAAAAAATATAATCATTTTAGAGTAAATGAAGATCTTCGAGCTAAATTCACGGCCCTAGTGAGGATTCATTGAACTGAACTCGAAAGCTCATCATCTAAAATGCAAACATTAGTTGTAATGACACGTGGACAAATAAAACTTTATCTAAATAAACGAATTAAATAACTACTAATCTAATTAGATGCCTTACATTGAATCACGGCTAAATACGGGCTATTGAAGCTACCGGAAACGGCTGAACCGACCTACTAAAGAACATAAGATACGAGAGTCCAGGCATGTGACCTTGCTTGCTCCCCATTGGCCCAATTTCCGAATTTTGTTGACTTTATTTTTATCATTTTATTATTTTCTTAAAATCATTTTATGTTACATGAAATAAAATTAAGACACTTACTATTGACATAATTGTTGAGGGTGTAGTCTCACCATAAGTTAATGAGTTCGAATTGCATAATCAAGGAGCTCAAGTTATTCAATTTTGAAGTCATTAAAGACACTTTAATATTGAATTATGATCAAATTATAATCTAAAATAATATACTCAACATCTTGAGCTAAGGATCATATTTATCAAATGCAAAATTTGTTAAATACCACATTCAATATCTTTAACAAAGAAAGTTATTTTAAAAATGTGAAGTGCAATCATAATTTCTAATCTACATCTTAGTGTGAAATATGACTTAAAAATAAATATTTATAATGAATATTGATGCTTGCTAGAAAATTCACGGCTGTAGAGTAATGAATTATTGTCTTAGCATTGCATGGCAATTCAACACATACTCAAATAAAAGAAAACAATTGGGAATGACACCAGACATTTTTACGTATAAAACCCGTAAAGGGAAAAAATCTTGGAGCTTGGCCCAGATGTAAAAATGTCCTTATTTAACAATACACTATAGATTGATGATTATATATATCACTTATCTCATAAACGAGAAATAGTTAGTAGGTTTTTCGAGTTACAATGTCGATTGGTGACTTCCAGTTGGTGATAGTCGATGGTGATTGGTGGTGATCGACGGTGGTCAGGGGTCGACAACAGTCGGTGGTGGTTGATGGGGTTAGTAGTGCTCGACAACGGTCAGTGGTTGTGGACGACAGCCGACAATGGTAGACGGTGATCGATGGTGATCGAAGACGATCAACAAGTGTTGAATGGGGTTGTCAGGTGTCGATGGTGGTCACCAACAGAGGTGTAAACGAGCTGAACACGAGCGAGCCATGCTCAGCTCATGTTCGGCTCATTTATATTTCGAACTCAAAAAGTGTGTTCGTGTTCGGCTCTTTGGCTTAACGAGCTGAACATGAGCTGTTCACGAACAAAGATTCCTTTTAACAACCCTAGTCATGTAGCCATATGACAATAAGAGTTTGAGCAAGATTTAAAAATTATTATTTATATTAAAACATCATTTAAATCTAATTTAATAATTTTTATTCTATTTTCTTAATCAATATTTTAATTGATTATAAATGTTTGTAGCCTTGTAGTCAATTAGATTTTTTTAAAATACTACTTAATATATTGTATATGTATGTATATGTCTATGTATATGTCTATGTATATGTATGTATATGTATGTATATGTCTATGTATATGTCTATGTCTATATATGTATATGTATGTATATGTCTATGTATATGTCTATGTATATGTATGTATATGTATGTATATGTCTATGTATATGTATGTATATATGTATATATATACATATATATACGTATATATATACATATATGTATGTATATATATACATATATGTACATGAATATAGAAATGTATGTATGTATATATATACATATATGTACATGAATATAGAAATGTATGTATGTATATATATACATATATGTACATGAATATAGAAATGTATGTATGTATATATATACATATATGTACATGAATATAGAAATGTATGTATGTATATATATACATATATGTACATGAATATAGAAATGTATGTATGTATATATATACATATATGTACATGAATATAGAAATGTATGTATGTATATATATACATATATGTACATGAATATAGAAATGTATGTATGTATATATATACATATATGTACATGAATATAGAAATGTATGTATGTATATATATACATATATGTACATGAATATAGAAATGTATGTATGTATATATATACATATATGTACATGAATATAGAAATGTATGTATGTATATATATACATATATGTACATGAATATAGAAATGTATGTATGTATATATATACATATATGTACATGAATATAGAAATGTATGTATGTATATATATACATATATGTACATGAATATAGAAATGTATGTATGTATATATATACATATATGTACATGAATATAGAAATGTATGTATGTATATATATACATATATGTACATGAATATAGAAATGTATGTATGTATATATATACATATATGTACATGAATATAGAAATGTATGACACTAGTCACCAGTGGTCGGTGGCGGTCGACGGTGATCGGCAATGGTTTTTATTTTGTCTTAATGAATCTAATTTGAATGGTTTATGTCCAAATTATTGTAAAGATCAATTCATGCTAAGGCAACTTAGTTCAATCTAAATCAACAAAATTTAAGACACGTTGACTAGATTCAAAGTGATTTTAACGAGCCATAATGGCAAACTCGCCGGGACCATGTTGAACTCACCAACATATACTCATGTTAAGGCTTATTCAAGCATACCCATTAATCAAGCTCATAAGTATTTCATCAACATACATTCAAATAAGCCAATAATTACTTCATCTATTATATCAACAGCTTTAAACAATAAGTTGACATCATTTGTTGAAGCTTTAGATAAATTAGTCAAATTCCACCCTTTTTTTTGTACATTTGTATCACACAAATCATTCATTTCACATTAAAAGGATCACTATTTTTTGCTTTAAAAAGAGTAATACATCATTTTATGCATAAGTTAGATAGCATATATGTAAAACTTGGAAGTTTAGGTGTTAGATATGTAAATACGCAGAACTTAAGTGGTATATATGTAAACCTTTCCTAATTAATAACGAGAAAAACCTTTTTGGCATGCTTTGTATAATTAATTTATCTTAAAATATGGAAAGTATTATTAGCTGATCACTTTATCATAAATGTAATATTTACCCAATTAATAAAGGCAAAATGTAGTTATTTATTAATATTAATCTGTATTATACTTGATTTTTATTAATTAAAGAATTTTATTACGGAAATAATTAATTTGAAAAATACTATTATGACCGTTGATTACTAACAATGCACATCAACTCTATCATAATTTATATATACTAATTTCTGGCAAAATACTATGTTTCCTTATTGAATAAAACAGCTAAATATTTATTATCGAATTACTGATTTAGTAAAAAATATGTCCAAACAGGAAATAATATCAACCAATTTTCTATTTTAACTAATATTAGTTCTACTATGAAAATATTTTAAAATTTTTTAATTTATTTTTAGGGTGCGTTTGAGGCAGCTTGTGCGTTTCAGGATAAGCAGCTTATCATGAAACGTGGCCCACGGGTCGACCACTGCGGCCTGCGTTTAGTTTAAAAATAGAACCACGTTTTCGGATAAGCAGACACAACGCACGATCCAAATGGTACTGCGGCGTTTTAAAAAACGCCCCCGCACTTATAAGCTGTCTAAACAAACGAGGCCTTAATCAATATGTTATATATTCAAGAAAAAAAGAGTTACCAAAATAAGAAACGCGAAATAACATAGCATGTTTTAAATTGTTGTTACCGTTAACTCAAATGAAAATCAATAATCTTATTTTAAAAAAGTAAAGTGCCAAAATAATTTCTATTCATTTTTTTATTTTTAAATTAAATTAAAATAATCCGCAATAATTATTGTTTCAGCCAATTTTACAAAATATGAGAATTATTTTAACACTTTTATAGCCCTAAGACTAAAACGATCACAAAGAAATAATCATGGATTATTTTGTAGAAACTATTACGTGTGGCAGTATCATGGTCCGAATACGACCACACCACTGTATATCACACGGAAGTCAATCAAGACCGTCATCCACATATATAATTACTATTAGGCTCACTATTTTGTTATTATATATATTTTTATTTATTTTGTAGAGACTATTACGTGCGATAAACTATACATCTCAATGACGATCAGAATACGATAACACCACTGATAGAATGAGAAATTATTACATTATGACTCCGCATGCAGAGCTGTTTGCGCTCCAATCTAGAGCTAATATGTGGAAAGCTATGGTACACTTTCATAAAAAAAATAATGAAAATCTAAGGAATATTTCCTTCGTATTATTCTGAATATTTTTTGTGTTATTCATGCGTTATTGGTGTGTTATTAAGGTAGTATTCATAAACACACCCATAACACATAAAAAATGCAAAAAATATTCCATGACATGAATAACACCTCAATAACACATCAATAACACATGAATAACGCGAAAAATATTCAGAATAATGCAAGAAAAATATTCAGCAAAGATATATTTGGTCGGGCTAGGTCATACGTTTTCAGTCTTATTTTCATTTTTAATACAGGTGAACCCTAGCTTTTCATGTATCAACTTAAGATTAGACTCCGCATATAACTTTATTTAAATTTTCTTATATAAGAGAGAAGCCTCATGTACAATTACTATTAAGCTCACTATTTTGACACTACTCAATTTTAAAATATAGCCGAAACAGCTCGCTCGAAGGTACAACATACCGTCCGGCGCGCGATTCAATTATTCTCTCGATTCTTTTTCCCACCTCAAATTATCTCTCTAGCCTCTGCTTTACTCCCCACAGCCATAGCCACTTCCCTTTGCCGTTTCCCTACGCAGAAGAGAAAGAGAGAGAGACAGACAGAGACAGGGGATTGAGAGAAGAAGAAGAGTCTTCGATGGCGTGGGAAACGGGTTGCTCGAGCAATATGAACGATTTCCATGGCCGACTTTACGAGGAGGAGAGAGCAATGGGAGATTTGCAGGGGATGCTTGACGGAGTCCTGTTCATGAAAGTGATGACCGACGAGCAGATCGAAGTTCTCCGGCGCCAAATCTCCATCTACGCTACTATTTGCGAACAATTAGTGGCGATGCATAGAGCCTTCACTAAAACCCTAGCCGGTCTGTTCTTCTTCCACTATTTTTCCTTGATTCGAAGCTTGTTTTTGGGATTGTTTCGCTGCTTCTGGGATTTATGTTAGTTGCAATCAGTAAATCCTTTAAATTTGAATTTGAATTTAGTAAACTTTTAGGAGTTAAATTTAGTAATACTGTTTGGAAGTTTCTTAAGAATTTAAATTTGTTAGTTTAATTTAACTTAATTTAGGAAAGATATATCACACAATTCTCATGCAGATGCATATTGAACATTTAGAAACAATCAAAAGTTGTTAAAAGATTCATCAAATCAGATAAATTTTGAATCTGTACTTATCAAATTCATTGTGTGACAGTGCGAGCGACAACAAAATAAATCTATCTCATGGCCTGATTTAATAAATCCGGAATTACATCTTAAAAGAAATCGAACCCGAGGAAAAAAGATCAAATCCGTGAATTTAATTTTTATTTATTTATTTTTGATGTTTTGTATGATTTAAATTAAATTCATGATTTAAATTCTTGCCTAAATCTTGTTAATAACATGCTATCAAGTACCTCAAATTTATTTTATGTTTATTGGTTATAGAATATTCTTAATACAAAATAAAGATTTGATTATTCACGTAAATATGAAAATTTAAGTATTAGAAATATAAATACATAAGATTTGTGCGGTATGTCTGTAAATGCCTCTTTAATTTATTTTTATATTATTTTTATTATATTAGTCATTAATTAATAGTTTATTAAATTAAATATTTTCTAAAAACTTTTTTACTTATTAATTAGTATAATTTAGTTGGAATTAGCTTTTTATAGTATATAGTTAAATGTTGATTAGGAAATTGCCAATTTGATTAAGCATAAGAAAATCAGATTTATACTAATTTAGTTAACTTAATTTTTAATAATTAATACTTTATTATTAAATAAATTCACAAATTAAAATTTAAATTTTCCTTTTGTCTTATGTCCGTTTCCCCGTGTTCTTCTATTCGAAACCCTAGACGCCAATAAACTCTAGAAATCAAGAGAGGAGCGAGCTTGGAAAGCATCGCTAGGATCGTGGTGTTCAATACCCTCATCTTTATCGCCAATGCACGACCCTCAATGGCAAAAAAGCGAGAGTAGTCATGACGGGACCTCGGTGGCGAAGCTCTGATAAGAGCGACGAAGTATGAAGAGTTACTGAAACTTGTGGATTTAAGTTAAATCCAGCCAATGCTAGGATTTACTAACTTTGTGAATGTTAAGCTAAAAGAAGATACTGTAGGATTTAAAGTTGCAGTTTTGCCTGTTTGGTAGGATTTAAATTAAATCCGGCTTAGATCCTGTCAGAGAGCCATTGCTAAACAGCCCTTTTGAATTTTGAACTTGGTGGGTTTTCATGAAGAAGCTAGAGAGATTATAGCTTAATTGTTGAAAAGTTTGTATCTGGTAATTTAATGATTTGATTTTTTTTTTTCATTGGTTAGAATTTTTATGTTTCCTTGATATAGATGTTTAGTAAGTGTACAAAGGGTTTGTGCTGGGAAAATTTTTACAATCCCTGAGAAAATGAGAGGTTCATGTTATCTTAAGTCTAGAAATTTATTTACATGCACATAATCAAGCAAAAATGTTTTTTAAAAGTCATAAATGGTGAAGAAATTAACTTTGGGGTTTGGCTCCAAATTTATTTTTGGTTGAAGCTAGTGCAAGAATAGTCAACCTCCTAATAATTGGAGGGATTCGAAGACAAGACACCCTTTCAGTCATCAAAATAAACGAAGCTAAGAATATTGAGATTAGCGCTAATAATTAGAGGTCATAAATGTACCAATAGTATGTGAAGGCAAAGCCAAAAAACATCCTTCAATAGCATGAATAGTGAGACGTTTGTGTAAATTTGATAGTGATGAAGCTGGGGAATTTTTTTTGAAAAGATAGTGTTGAATCCGATTTTGTTCTGTGAATCACACCTAAGAAATAGAGCGTATAACATGAGAGGGAGGGAGAGAGATGGAGAGAGAGAGTACATAGTAATGAAAAGTAAAATGAGAAAAAATGTGTAACCTTTATTAATGAAATAATCCCCTATTTATAGGTAAATGGGGTACAATATGTGAGGTTAAATTTTTGCCCTTGCTTAATTGGGGGCTATACAGTTCATGGAAGGTATTTCACCCTTGTGGGCCCAGGGCCTTTCTGAGCTTTGGTGGTCAGTTAGATCTAATGATGCCATATGTTGGATAGATTTGGAAACACTGTCAGTCAGCTCGCTGGCTGTGAGTTGATAGGACTGATCTAATCGACTGAATTTTGCTGATCGGTAGGCATAGTCCGGTTGTTGATCCTCAATCTCCACCAAGGAGCTTCTGTCGACATGGTAAAGTTAGGTCATTGGGAAGAGGGTAAATCATTGTAATCCGATGAGTAATCTTCATTTTGATAAGAGGTGAAGACACTGGATAGAAGGAAAGCTTGAAAAAGGATGCAAAGGTAAAGTGAGAAAGGAGAAAACCTTGGAATTGCGTTACTCCATTACTAGCACTTGGTACATTACCAACGCTCAATATATTACAGTCCAACATACACGTGAAGCTTCTAGAGGGGACTAATTACCTTACATATCCTTATAGTGTGCCTCATAATATCAACCTATTCCACTTTGCCTTACTAACCCCCATCAAGATGATGAAGTTTGGAAGAAACTTGAAGATTGGACTGCAGAAATTTGAACTTCTTTTTCTGTAAAGATTTAGTAAATATATCTGCCAGTTGATCTTAGGTATTGATGTAGTGGATTTGGAGAAAATTTGATTGGATTTGGTCCCAGATGAAGTGATAATCTATCACGATATGCTTGGTGCGAGCATAGAATCTGGATTCGTAGCAATCACCATTGCGAAGAGATTATAACATGAGAGGTTGGCAGAATCCGGTTGTGGAGAGCTGAATTTACTAAGAAGACGTCGTGGCCATAGGATGTCGGATGCCGCTGTCGCGAGGGCACGATAATCGGCTTCGGTGGAGGAACGAGCCACGGTATGTTGTTTCTTGACTGCCAACGAGATTGGAGTGATACATAAAAAAGTGCAATATCCTATAATTGAGCAATAGTTTTTTGAATCTCCGACCCAATTGGTGTTCGAGTAGGTGTGGAGTGTGAGATCACTTGGCTTGATGAAAGTTCATAATCCAAGGTTCCATGGAGGTATCAAAGTGTCCGCTTGAGGAGTTGATAGTGATACTTTGTGGGGGGTATGCATGTGTTGGCAGAAGAAGTTTACCGCGAAACAGATGTTGAGACACATAATTGTAAGGTATTGAAGTGCTCCGGTGAGTTTGCGAAACTCGTGGATTGTTTATCAAGGTGAAGGCGGGGGATCCACTTTCGTGCTTTCTTGGTAATGGCGTTGCCACTGCCTTGCAGCCTACCATATTAGCTGGAAGTTGTCTTTGCGTGAGGTAGTTTTGTTGATCCAAGAAAATATAATTATCTCGCCGAGTAACATTAATACCAAGAATCCAAGAGACCAGCCCTAGATGTTTGATTTGGAACTTAGAGCTGAGGCGAGTAGTGAGTGCTTCAATTGCTGTCGTGTTCTGTCCTGTAATTAGAATATCATTGACATAAAGGAGAATATATATACGAGGGTTATAATTATGTGAGAGAAGGAGGGATGGATCTGCCTTGCTGATTTGAAACCCTTCGTTGATGAAAAATGTAGAGATCACTGCAAACCATTGTCTCGACAACTGTTTGAGTTCATACAAGGCTTTCTTGAGTAAACAAATATGATTTGAGAATTGAGAATTAATGTAACTTGGCGGTTGTTTGATATAATCTGTTTTAAGAAGCTTTCAATGTAGAAATGCGTTAGAGACATCAAATTGTAGCATGGGCCACTGGTGATAAGAAGAAACCTTAAAGAGCACTCGGAGTGTTGCCATCTTTGCCACAGGACTAAGTGTTTTGAATTAGTTCACACCATATTCTTGATTATACCCTTGTGCCACAAGACGAGCTTTATATTGGGCTACTGTACCATCCGATTTATATTTAGTGGAATAAGTCCATCGACATCCCAGTATAGAGCTGACTGACTGACGGAACCAATTCCCAAGTGCCTTGTGCATGAAGAGCAGAGAACTCCTCATTCATAGTGGACTGCCAGTGAGAATGCTTAGCAGCTTGTGTGTATGTTGTAGTGTTAGAGGGATGTTTGAGTTGATGTAGTAGATTTAGCTTCATTATGGATTTGAGGTTGCCAGTGAGGCTATGGGTGATCAGATGGTGATGCGGTATGGGCGGTTTGGTTGGGATAGATGGTTGTATGTTTGGAGGGGGTGGGGTGGTGGTGGGGTAGGTTTCTTTGGTGGAGACGTATGAGTTGGTGTGAATGAGGGCTTGGATGGCATAGTCGTGTACATGTGGAGGGATGAGTAGGAGAGGGTTTGTTGGAATATCTGGTTGAGATGGGGAAGATTGGATGTTTTGAAGGGATTGATATGGAAAGACATTTTCATCAAACATAACATGATAAGAGATGAAGAGTTTGCTTGAAGTGGGTTGGTAGCACTTGTATCCTTTAAGATTATAGGAGTAGCCAAGGAATACACATGGGTGAGAGCGAGGAGCTAATTTATGTGGTGTTTGTGACCTTAGTCATGGATAGCCTAAGCAATTGAAAACCCGAAGATTGAAGTAGTTGGGTGGATGATTATAGAGAAGTTGATAAGACGATTTGGATTGGGTGACTTTAGATGACATTCTATTTATAAAATAGTATGCCGCAAGAACCGTATCAACCCATAGCGTGAGAGGTAGGGAGGCATCATGAAGGAGAGCTCTTGTAGTTCGAATTAGGTGTCTATGCTTTTGTTCGGCTACCCCGTTTTGTTGCGGGGTATGAGGACATGAGAGTTGGTGAAGGATGCTTTTATGGATTAGGAAATTGCGATGTTTATGGTTGGTATACTCCTCACCTCCATCAGATTGAAACGTGTGAATAAGATTGTTTAATTGAGTGTGAAACATTGTGTTGAAATTGATACATAGCTTTACTTCACATGGGAAATACCTAACAAAAGTGGTAGAAATCATCAAAAAAAAAGAAGTAATATTTATAGTCTTGAGTAGATACTAATGTGGATGGACATGCATCAAAATGAAGTAAATGCAAAGGAGCATGTGTATGTAAAGAAGAAAATAAAAACAGTTGTTTATGAGTTTTGTCGCAACTGCAACTATTACATGTAGATGTAGGTATTGCCATATTTAAGGTAGGATGATTGGTGGATATAAGCCGAATAACATTTGAATGTGGATATCTGAGATATTTGTGCCAAAGAGCAGGCTTCATTGTGGTGGTAGTGAGGGCATGTGTAGATGGAGGGAAGGGAGGGATCAAATAGAGGCCATTTGTACTGGTTCCTCAAAGGAGTGGTAGGTTCATCTTAGAGTCAAAGATGGTAAAGCCATTCAGATAAAAGAGAACATCAACATGATTAGCAATGATTAATTTGCGAACAGATAAGAGATTGTGAGAAAGAGATGGAACATGCCAGATTTGAGCTATGATTAGCTTACGGTGGGGTGTAGGGAGGATGCCATCTAAAAATATACTTAAAACCTGGGAATCAAAAGTTGCTTCTATATTTATCAAGTGTTTTTAGGATTAGCTTACGGTGGGGGGTAGGGATGCCATCTCTTGTGTTTGCAACGAGAGCTGATTGTCCTGTACCCTCGGTGAACTGTTTGGAACTTGTAGTAGGGGTTGCAAGGTGGAGATGATTGAGATCAGATGTCAGGTGAGCGGTGGTCTCATAGTCTAGTACCCATGAAGAGGCAATTGCCTGAAATGATTGCTTGATAGGTACATAGTTGTGGGTCAATCGGTTCCTATAGAAGGCTGCTAAGTGTCCAAATCTGTTGCAGATCCTGCATGCGACTGATGCTCTTCATGTGTTTCCAACCCCTTTGGTACTGTTTGAGGATGTGTCTCGGCTTCGACCACGAGACGAAACAATCGAGGGAACTCCTGTGGCTGCAAGTGCAAGGTATGGCTGAGGAGAGGGATCAGATCTTTGATTGTCACTGACAATATTGATCTCCTCACTGCATACGATTGAGTAGAAATCATCAAGAATGATGGGATGGAGTTGAGTTCAGATTGCCGTCTTGAAGCCTTGGTAGGTAGCGAAAGCCCATTGAGTGTATAGAGGATGATGTCCTCAGTGTCTAGTTTCCCCCTTGCATCAACAATGTTGTCTACTAGGGCTTTAACACTTGATAGGTTTTGGATCATCATTTGATTGTTCATCGAGATGGTATGAAGGGGATTCCTAAACTGAATTGGTCTTGAGTGGTTGGTTGGTTTCAATCTTTTAGCAATAGTATTCAAAATCTCCGTAGCAGTTGAAAGGTGTAGCTCTTAAGGAAGGATCAATGTAGAGATGATTGAATAAAGTGCTGCACTAAGGTTTTGATCAATCAAAATCTATGAGGGGTATTGTGGATTGTAAACCTGGGAATCAAAAATTGGATCGCCAAATTGCGGTGGACAAGGAAAGCTGCCATCCATGATCCCTAAGTACCCATTTGCAGGGAAAGTCATGTGAAATTGAGCCTTTCATAGAGAATAAGTTTCAGCTAAGAGTGAGTTTTGAGTAAGGTGTTTTAAGTTGCTCATAAGAAATTTGAGGGAGGGTGGGATAGAGATTGGGGTATTCAACTCTATTGTTGATGAATTGAGGTTTTTTGAGTTTTGTGATGTAGCCATCTACTCTGATGTTACCGAAACTTGCTCGGATTGAGGAAGGGCCGACTGATGCTTGGCTGGTAGAGGCCGATTGACTGTAGTCTTTGGGTCGAGCAAACGAATTGCAGCCCCTTGGACCAAGCGATGCCCTAGATCAATGGAGAAGCTCAAATAGGCTTGAGCTCAAGGCTCTAATACCATGTAATTTGGAGAGAATGAGAGCTTGAGAGAGGATGCAAAGGTAAAGTGAGAAAGGAGAAAACTTAGGAATCACTTTAATCCATTACCAGCGCTCGATACATTATCGTCCAACATACACGTGAAGTAGTGACTCTTCTAGAGGGGATTAATTATCTTACATAGCCTTATAACGTGCCTCATAGCTAGTATATATTAACCTATTCTCAGTGCGATGATTGAAACTTATTGTATTCTCTTGATGGTAATGGGGGAGGTGGTTGGGTGACCCCAGCTTGACAGAATCATGGGGACTGGCTTCTCCCTCGGATTGACTCTGTTGTGATGGCGGGCTTGGAAGACTTCTCAGCCGTTGTCTGAATGAGCCGCTCGTGTTGATAGCACTTTGACAACCCTTGTGATTTAGACAATCTTGGGATTGTTATATTCGGTCGGATATCTGGTTTGTCGATCCGTTATTTCTCTTCAAGTTTCGTGCTCACGATGAAAAAAATTAATTTTATTATTTAGAGGGTTCAGATTAAAGTTTTTACTATCAGAAACATCAAATACTAAAGGTTTTTGGGACTTTTGCTGATGTTGAAGGGTTGTATGAAGTAGTTCCGAAATTCGTTTCTATTAGAGTTAATATAAGGAGGGTGAAAAAGCAGATGAGAATTTGTGATGAGAGTATCCACAGAAAAATTATTATATATAAAGATATTAAACATTAGAGGGACCATGTACCCCTCTTGCTGCCCTCTTAAATATGCCTTTTAACTGTTGTTTGACATATATTTGTAGAGAACACGGGTTTCATCTAAAAGAGCTGCATGGAGTGCTACGATCAATGTCCAATCCACAATTTTAAGCAAGCTAGTTAACTTGAAGACATGTGTGGTGATGAAAATCAATTTTTGATATTAAGTATGTCCCTTTAAGGATCACCCGAAAGATAAATAGTGTGCCCAACGATGGGTGTCTTGTTTATGGCTATTAGTAAAGAAGATCTCAATATTCTTTTCAAAATTGTGGTTTATTTGGTTATTTGAAATTAAAAATGTGTTTGAAGAATGATGAGTTTATTTGATTCTTTTGTTCGGTTGGATGTATTTAATATAGTTTTTTCAACTCTGCAAATATATTCAAGTTATATCAAAAGTGAAGATTTTATTTTCACTCTCAAAATGAGAGAAAAATTAAGAAAAAGAATACCTTTTGTTGTGGAGCCTAGATGCATCCACAACCACAAGGAGCCCACAGCAGCCAGGTGCACACAACCACTAACACATGCATCTAGGCTTGGCTTAGCCACACCCAAAACTGGCGTAGCTATACTGGGCTTCATAATTACACCACAACGATGTAGCCATGCCACAAAGGATCTGTTTTTCTTGTGATTTTCACTGAGCAGATGAATAATTACGTCCCTACTTCGTGTGGCCACACTGCCGAGCAATATTTTCTGTTCCGTTCCATATGTCGTGATTTTGAGAGGCGAAAGGTACTCTCTCAGGTGTTGTGTTTCAACAAGGTTTCCACGAAGCGATGAAATGTTGAAGATGAGGATTTCACCGAGTTATATATTTCCATTCCTACATATCTCTCTCTAAAACATGTTACAATGATCCAAATGAACATTTAGAATTTAAAAAAAAAATGAATGTATTGAAATAGAGTCATATTTATAGAGGATTATTTTTGTGTTTAGTTCGTTATTTTTTCTCTTAATTATTCTGAGCACATGAAGGAGTTGTGCTCAGATTTTCGTAGTATTGGTTGGAAATAAAGTAAAAAATTTCAATGTGTATGGATTTGAGTGCTCACTTTGCTTGAAAAAAAAATTACACAAAGGAGTTCGTATCCTTTATGACAATTTAAAAAAGATCATTAACTCTTTAATGAATCTGACAAAAAAAAAAAAAACAAGCAATTCCTCATCATTTTTGTTGGATGAACTTACTCCCCCAAGAATCATGACAAGCAATTCCTCATCATTTTTCCTCATCATTTTTGTTGGATGAACTTACTCCCCCAAGAATCATGGTGTAAATGCTCAGAGAAATTCAAAATTTCTCAGACGAAATGTACTTTTTGAAGTCCATTGTTTTGCACTTGAGCCCCTAACAGTTCCTTAAATCACATAAAATTCTCAAAATCCTGAACTGCTTTCATAAATTTTCTAAAACTACCCTAATCACAAATTATTTCATCTATTGTATCTTGATGAAAACACTCATCCTCCTTTTAACCCTCCTCTGCAGGAAACAATTTTGGAACTACTTCATACAACCCTTCAGCATCAGCAGAAGTCCCAAAGATTGCTGCAAGGCAACGGTGGATCCCAACTTCCACACAACTACAGATCCTTGAGAACATATTCAAGCAAGGCTATGAAACTCCGAGCAAGCAGAAGATAGCAGAGATCACTTCAAAGCTTGCAAAGCATGGACATGTCTCTGATGTTAAGGTATACAACTGGTTCCAAAACAAAAGAGCTCGGTCCAAGAAAAAGCAAGCTGTTCTTCTGAAAAGCAATGCTGAACAAGAGAATGAGGCAGAAATTGAATCTTGTAGCAGGAAGAAGATGAAGATGGACGAAAACCATGAGAATGAGGAGCCAGAGCTCAACAGAGGAGAAGAGGAGCATGCTTCTATGGACAGTGCAGGAGTTTTGTGCGCCCAGGAGCAAGTGAATTTCTATGAGAATTCTGCTTCTCTTCCAAGTAAGTGGTCACATTCTTTTTCTAGCGTGTAATCAAAGTTTTATTGGTGTGGTACTGATTTTTTGTAGAGAGGGTATAAGTTTTACGCATGCAAGATGAAAGTGTGATTTTCATGTCTTTTGAGTGTCGTAGAACTTAGAAATTCATGTTTTTCTTAATGAATTTAACATGATATACTAAAATTTTAAGAGGGAAATATGGGTTAAAAATAGACTTTATATGTGGTGAGATAATATATGTATAGTACTGTTATTAAGCTGAATATAGTTTAGTTGGCTATTTTTTTTTCTTCGTTTAATTTAATAAATGAGCTAAAGAATATGTTCAAATTATGCTCATTTACCTTTTAGCAAGCTAAACTTGTACTTAGTTATCAAGTTGAACTTAAGTATAATGAAAAAGTCAAACATGAGTAGTTTGTGAATGGAGAGCTTTGACACCCTTATTTTTTATTATGTTGTGAAGCATTCTTCCTTCTCTGTCTATAATTAGTTTTGATCTACATAAATAGGAATCATTAATTTAAGAGAAATATTAGACTCAATTCTATTTATGGGTGACGTCAGTGATCAGACCCAAAAGAGAGAAGTGAAAATTTAAGAATCTTATTAGATTTTAATGCTAAAAAGTATAAGATAACTTGAGCTCATCCTCTAATCTATTTATATGTTTATATTAAAGCTTAGCACTGACTGAATAATTAAATAAAAATTATTTAGTAAATAAATTGGGCAAGCTCAAATTGGAACTTTTTTTTTTTGAATTCCAATGGAGGAAGGGTGGGGATTGATCTGCTTCTGAGAAGCTCAATAGAGGTTTAGTATTCCAGTTTATCCACAAACATCAAGTTTAATCCATGAAAATAAGAAAAATAGTTAAATCTGAGGTACACCAAGAGCTAGCTGTTTGACGATAATTTCATTAGAAAAATGAAATTTTATTTTTACCACAACTTCATGATTTTAAATGCGAAATGTAACATTTTATATAGTAATAATTATATGTTAAAAGGCGATATGAACTATAAATCAATTTCCAAATTCTTAAAACACAATATTTTTATAAAATATGTTTTGCTAACGAATTAGTTTGTATAAAATCATATTTAACTATATTAAAGGGTTAAATGGGAGTAGGGCTGTAAACGAGCCGAGCTTGAGCGAGCTCAGGCTTGGCTCGTGTTCGGCTCTTTCGAAATACCTCGTGTTCGAAATCGGCTCGTGAACAGTGTGTTTTTGTTCGGCTCAATTTAAATATTCGTGTTCGTGTTCGGCTCGTGTTCGGCTTGAAGTTGGCTCGTTAAACTAAAATTAAAAAAAATAGATGTAAAGTGTGAGATTCGAACCTGGATCAAATATATACAAAAGAAGACACTAATCACATTGTCACATGAGGTGTTATGATTTAAACTTAGATATAAATATATATAATATATTATTATATAAATAATATATGTAATATATTGTTATATAAAAAGTTATGTAATTTTTTTTTCGAGTCATTTCGAGCCGAACACGAGCGAACAAACTGTTGTTCGTGTTCGGTTCGTTTACATTTCGAGCTTAAGAATTTTTTCGTGTTCAGCTCGTTAGGCTTAACGAACGAGCCAAACACGAGTTGTTTTGAGTACGAGACATTCAAAATTATCACCTCCTTTGGGATATAAACATAATTTCATTCGTGTGACGTGTTTGTTATTATTTTCTATTTCAATTATTTGGTTTTAATTTCCCATTTGATTTTAGTAATAATATTTACTTTTCCTATTATAATTCGGTTGACTCTAGTATCATTAACTCTAGCATTTGAAACATAGCTGAAAACTTCCGGACATTAATTGAATGGCCAAATGATTTTCAATTCTTTCACTCTTGTAACCAATCTAGCACCTCGATAAGGCAAATTCAAAAGCCAATATCACTTAATTTTAGCATCATTAAGGTACTCAAATGTGTAAAAAAAAATTATATAATCACGGAGATCATTCTTAGTAGTCTAATAAAGTATTTTAAAACTTTGGTGAGTTAAAATGTCATTATAAATTTATATATAGATGTTTGTTCTCTAGATTTAATGGCCGTCTATGGATTGGGAAGGGCTTAGAACTTGAGGAATCCTAGAGCTCCACCTGGCCTTTGTATTTGAGTGGTTGTCGCTTGACCATCATTGTTGGACCATCGTCGTCCTTCCTCTACTATTACATCATTTTCATTCAACCTCCATCTTCGGTATGGTGCTGCTTGGCCTTTTCCATCATTTTAGCATTTTTTGGTTGTCACAATCAAATCACCATTGCCTGATCATCATTGTCAAACTATGATCTTCTAACCAACTACCATCACCCAACTACAATCTTCTGACCATCGCCGCGGAATTATAATCTTCATAATACACTCCTTTGATAACGATCTACTTTCAAGCATTGTTTTAATCTAGCCTAAAACCATCATTGGATATTATCTCATGACCAATGTCGCCTACTAATATCCCTTGAATCATCACTCAACTATAATCTTCTAACCTTTATTGCCTAATGACAGTCTTCTAACCACGTTTCCCTAACTATAACTCCAGATGACTTTCACTTTGACTATATTGATACCCCCCATAAGTCATTGTCTATCGTGTCTATGCATGCCATCGCATAAAAAGCCGATGCATGCAATCAACATCAATACCAACTCCAACACCAACACTAATGCTGATTAATCTTATTGTCTTCTATTGCTAACAAGTTTGACAAATGCCAATATCTAATAAGTTGATTCACCCAATTGATATCGGCCCTAACATCCATCGACTTCATTACTTATCATCAGTCATAACATTAATGTATGCTAACACTCACAACACAAATACACATCATCAACCTCAAAATCATATTGAACTTCTCGACTTCTATTCTTATTTCCTCAAAAGGAGAACAATTAAACAAACTATAAATGATCTCTTGTAGACTCCACGCTCAAGACTCCTCCAACACCTAAAGAGTTCTTCAACTTCCATCATAAAATTCATCCTAGACTCCACTCAGACTAGACTTCTTTTTTATTCTCTCTTTCGAAACAAGGAAGCGTTTGTTTCAGCGTTCCCGTCCGCTTTCGGAGCAGAGTTCCGAAATTCGCATTTGGCTGCTTCCCGTGACCGCATTTCAAACCGCCGTTTCAAATTTTTGCATATAAAAATAATGCGGCAAGACAGCAAGTGCAATTAAAAATGGAATAATATAAAAATACAATATTTTTTGTTATTATAATATAAAATTATGTATATATATATATATATATATATATATATCACAAAATTCTTGGAAAAAAATAAATATTTTTTCCCTTTGCATTTAACATAAAAATTATATTTTGAAATCAGCACTTAAGATGCAAAAATAATCAGCATTTTATTTTTTTTCATATTTATACCACTTAAATCTTTCATATCACATGAAAATACCATTAATTTAAATTTAAATACCAATAATCATGTTTTACCTCATTTTAATTAATACATTTTATCAAATTCTTACTAATTTGATAAATATTAATTTATAAATATCAATATTTTGAGTGGTCTGGATCTAATTATCCCCCTTTTTTTTTAAGTCTTGCTAGGCCTATTTCGGAACAAGTAAAATAAATAAATAAATAAAAATAATATCTTCATATATTCATCTCATTTTCCAAATACACTTTCGAAGGAACTTGACATCGAACATCCGCCATTAACCAATCACAGAAACAATACCCAACTACTTGCTGGAACGGTGAATTGCCATCACTATTCCAATACAATAATCATATTTCATAACCTAAAAATGCTGAATTGTTCTTCGATTATTTCAGATTTCACGTTTCTCATGTTTCCATTTTCCAGTTCGAAAGCACAAGAAAGAAAGAATCATCCAACTGTAATCGAATTACAAACCCTAATCTGTACAAGGTACGATCCCCTGCTTCTTCCTTACACCTTCTCCGAGAAGAGAATCTCCATCACCGTAGAATAAGTACCGGAGACCGTGAAGAAGACGCCGATCACGATGATCGCCGCGTCGGAAACCACCGCAATCCAACTCATCTCCGACCCAAAAACTTTGAGATGAAAAGCGGCCGGAAGAACAAACCCTAGGATGCAACAAACGCTGCTCCCCACCAGAGATAGGAAATCGGTGAAATTGGGTACAAGCAAAGTCACCAAGCTCACCGACAACACCAAACCCCATCTCAGCCATATACAGAACTGCTTACCGCAGGCCCACCGCTCCGCCACCTCGTACACCGGATTCATCATGATCGGAAGGGTGAAGAACAGATTGATGCAGAGCCCGATCTGGACGGCTATGGGAATCACGCCATGACCCAGGTTTGTGGTGATGATGTCGCTTGTCTCATCGCCGAAGGCAGCATACCCAAAAGCTCCGAAGGAGGCGTAGAGGGCGGAGATAAAGGCCATCGAGAGACCTAGGGTTCGCCCGAACTTAGACTTATCAGCTGCTTCTGATTCAAGTGGAAGCACCATGCCGATCCCCTCAAAGGCATAAACAGCGACGCCTAGGCCGTAGAAGATAACGGATGGCCCGCCGAAGGAAATCAGATCGGGCCGGCGTTCAGCGAAGGTGGTGATATCCACGCCGAGGACGATCACCATGGCGGCGATATCGACTATGTCGGCGAAGATGCTGAGGGGGGCGAGGAGAGTCAGGCTTCGAATTGAGTTGAGGGCGAGTTGGAATGGCAGCAAAGCGGCGATGGAAAGTAGTTTGTTAGGTTTTTGAGGGAGGATGTGGGTAAGGGTGTTGGAAATGAAGATAAGGTACCCGATGCAGAAGCTGGCTTGGCTCAAAACGATCATCAGATCTACGGCGAGGCGGCCTGCACGACCAGCAACAGCAAGCCCGAGATCTCCGAAGGAGGCGATCTTGGAGAATCCGATTTCACCCTCAAGTCGGCGACGGGTGCGTGCGAGAAGCATCATGCAGTGATACGTGAGGGCTCCGACGGCGAAAAGCATTAGGGTTCCAGCGGCCCATCCAGTGCGCTTGAAGGCGTAGGGGAGGCCGAGGACGCCAGCGCCTACGATGGCGATGAAGACATTGGCGAAGGTTTTGGGTTGAGAAGAGAGGTGACTGCCGGAGTGGCATCCGAGAAGAGGAGCCGATGGATCGCTAGAGAATATTGGGAGGGCGTGGGAGGAGGAGCTCGCTTCCTTGAACACCATGGCGATTGCGAGGAGATCGGATTTAGGGTAAAGGGTGGAGGAAGGTGGTGGATGATCGGGCGACGGGCTTGATTTATATAAAAAAAAAAAAGAGGGCGCGTGGGGTCAAGGGTCCGTGTAAGTGGGGCCCGCGGAATGGGACCGTCTAAAGTTGTCCCGCCGAGACAAGATAAGAACGAGGAATATTTTGAATATTAAATCGGAACGATTTTCTGCTTGGGGGACATTGGGCGAATTTTACGGTTAGGATATTGGCCATTCGCTTCCGCAATCATATCCTATCACAACGTAAGGGAAAATATTTGCGTATATAAGACGTATGCAGTGCTGCGTATATTAGGGGTTATTCAAGAAGTACAGAAGAGTTATATCCGGGTTATATCCCATGTAATCTCCGTGTAATTTTCCTGAAATGATATTCTATAAATTTTGAATTTATCCTCTCCTCAGTTATTTTGAGCCAATTTAGACTAAAAGAAAGCATTTCACATTCTTAGATGCTTACCCTTCGTATTGATCTAAGAGGTTTGGTCAAACTATTTGACCTTTAGTCAAGTGAGATTTGACCATGATAACATCTTAATCCAATTCAACATAAATAAAAATCTATTGAATCAATTTAATCCTTATAATTATTACGTTTGCTTCAATTAGAGTTATGATTGACCGCCCAATACTAAGGATTTTTTTTAAAGTATGTTAAAAAAATGATTGGCCATGGAACCCAATTGCCCTCCCATGAATCAGTTGAGTTACCAAACTCTTGCTAAATTTTCCCAAATTATGCTAGGTCTGGCTAGCTAAGACCCTTGGCTAATCATCATAGTCAACCCAATCCATGATCTAAACAAAGTGGATGAAATCCTTTGACCTAAGCCTGAATTTTGTTCTCTTGGTTTAATTGAATCAAACTCGGTTGTGCAAAAATTTCCTAAGGCTTTGACTAATCGCTGTCACGTACCTCCCTAGACTGTACCCTTGTGAGCTAGTTTGTTGGCACCAGATTGATTGGTCGCTCCAAGTTCATTTGTAAACTCAAATGATCTAATATCCCTAACTATCGACATAAGTAATATTCTAGGTTGTATGTACATGCTCCTTTTGACGATCCTAAATATAATTTTCAAGTTAGTAGGGCTAGCAATATTTGAGTCTCCATCTTGGATCATTTAAGTGCACCTACAGACAAACAATAATATGGTGAAATTTATAAATACTTATATCTCTTAGCTTCCTCAAATGTGAGAGAAGTTCGCTGACCTCTCCTTCCCACTAGCTCTATTAGTTCCCTAGAAGGTTGAGCTCCAATAAGCTTGTGACAACATTATAATATTTAGAATAATTTGTGAGGAGACAAGTGGACTAATTCACAATGACAAAATATCTCAAACCCAACTACACTTCAAATCAATAGCTAAAATTTCAACCCCATTCAAATCTTGAACCATTGGATGATTCTTTTACTCAAACAATGGTTAGGATAATTTTCAATTCATCTCTATGTCAGTAATGAGTGAACCAATTGACATAGTTTTTTTCTCCATACATAGAGGAAGAAGATGATGTCTGGAATATGCAATTTACCCTGTGATTGCATGGCATGATCCATCTCACATGGCAAATATACTGTTTGCATAGTGCTGCAAATCCCATTAGATTCGGCTTCTATTGAAGCTTGAGATAGATTTTAATTCATTTCCATTACTAATGAGTGAACTATTTTCCACAGCTTTATCCTCCATAAATAGATGAAGAAGTTGATGGTTGAATTTTGTGGTTTACCCCTTAATTATATGGCTTGATCCATCTTACATAACAAAAGCATCCCTTAAAAAATTCAAAAAAAAAAAAACTTAGCGAGTTTACATAAAAATTAAAAAAGCACAAAAATAATCACTTAGAGGCGGTGAACACTCAAGAAGATTACATATAATAACTTAGGGAGTTTATCAACACTTCGATAGAAGAAATTTGCTTGAGTATCCATTACCTTACCGTATATGTCAATTCATTTGAATTTAGACTTATCATAATCCAAATTGTCCAAATAACCAGTTTGGGGAAATGCCCATTGAAGACTCAAACTTGCAATTAATCAATTTTTTAAAAAATTGTGCCACATTCAAGTATGTCCTTAGTGATGTCATTATATTTTCTCCTTTCTCTCTTAGGGATAAAGCTAGTGGCTCATCTGCTTAGCACCATGATCTTTCACCACATGGACCGACTTATCCCAAAATTTCCTGGCCAGGTACTCAAATCAATGACTACGAAATATAGGAATGACATTAAGACCTTAACTCAATTAGATGAAGAGTCAATCTATGAAGCTTATGAGAGGTTCAAGGAGTTGCTTATAAAATATCCACACAACCGACTTGATTGGATGATTATCCAAAAATTTTATAATGGGCTGGTAGGTTCTTTAATTTCTATCATAGATGCTACAGCTGGGGTCCTTAATATCTAAATAATTTTAAGCGGCATATGAAGAAATTGAGTAAATGGCCACCAATAACTTTGAATGACCTTCTAATAGAGTCATCCTGAAAACGGTAGCTAGTGTGCATGACACAGACTTTCTAAATATCATAGCTTCATACGAAGTTTGATACTTTTAGAATGAATTTAGTGTCTGGACCCCTATCAACTTATAGGATAATTTATGAATTAGCAGGAGAATCTAACACTACTGTCTTAGAGGTTGTGAATGTTGTAGGAAATCATGTTCATAGCCCTTACTCCAATACCAACAACCCAGGATGGAAGAATCAACCTAATTTCCAATGGAACAATTATAACAATCAAGGTGCAGGAAACTGATAGGGGGGAAATAGTCTATAAACATTTTAGGTAGCAGGAATAACCAGGAAATTAATAACCAGAGACAAACTTACCGGCCTATATTCACTTCCAATGCCCAACCTATGGATACCATCTTTTGAAGAGTTGGTGTTACAAATGTAGAATCAATTACAGAGCCAAGTTGTTCCCATAAGGAATATTGAAAATCAAATTGAACATTTGACAAACTTAATGAATAATAGACCGCAAGAGATGCTCCCTAATAACCCTAAAGTGAATTTGAAGGATTATAAGGTGGAGCAGTGTAAAGCCATTAGAGCAACTATTGGGATGTAGTGGCGAGATACCCGTATAATAGAGAGCAAATGTGTTGAACCAGACTTTGAAAAACTTACCTCATCTCTTAGGATAGGACAAGAGAAACCACCATCACGCTTTCTCTAGAGACTCCAGAGGCATGAGATGGATCAAAAGATATTCGAGGTTCTAGATGTTGTTAATAAACTCACCATAAAATTCTTTATGTTAAAGCCCTAGAAAAAATGTTAAGTTATGTGGGATACGTGAAAGATGACTTGAAGAAAAGATAAAACTACGAGCTGGTGAGACGATAGCCTTGACCGATGAGTATAATGTCATCAATCAAAAGAAGTTTCCTAAGAAATTGAAAGAATCAAATAGTTTCACTATTCCTTGTGCCATAAGAAAAATAGATTTAGTGGGATGGCCTTATGTGACCTAGAGTCAAGTATTGACCTTATGCCTCTATTCTTTTTAAATATGTTAGGATTAGAAAAGATCCAACCCACTACACCCCCACCCCCACCCCCCTTCAGTTTGTTGACCAATATATGACATATTTGAGGGGAGTGATAAAGGACATCCTAATTAAGGTTGAAAAATTCATATTCCCTAGTAACTTTATGATCTTAAATATGGAAGAGGAAAATGAGATTCTATTGATTTTTTGGAGACCCTTTTTAGCCCCTAGGCTAGTGATGATTGATGTTCAAAAGGGGAAACTTATCATGATTATCATGAGAATGAATGATTAGGAAGTGACTTTTGATCTTCTAAAATTTATGAAGTTTCTCCAAGCTCATAGGGATGATCAATAATAGAGTGTAAATGTGGTGGAGGGGGTGGTTAATGTTTAAGTTTCTGAGCTTGAAGAATTACACCTTGAAGAGCAAGCTGTGGCAAATGAATTTTATTGAGAAATGAGTAATGAAGAATCTGATCTTTATTTTGAGGCAAACCCTAGAATTTTTAGGGAGATAGTTGAGCCTGAAGATACCATGACCCACGCCCAGGCCGTAGGACCATCCATTGGAGGAGCCCTAGCGATAGGGTTGGAGGTTTTCCCTGAGCAGAGATAGTGTGATTTTTTAGAAGAATACTCCATTATGCCCCTCATGAGTGCAGACAAGTGCAGTGAATCACAAGAGGGGGAAGTGCTAGAAGCTTTACGGAAAGAAATATTTTCTTAGGGTTTACCATCTGATTCGACCCCCGCCATACTACTTGGAAGATGATTGCGGAAGTGAAATTGAGAACTTAACGAAAAGTCTGAACTTAAGGGTTAGGAAGGACACCTATTTTTTGGAAGAGTCTGGAGTAAGAATAACATTTGGTAATTTAGGAAACCCTTTAGGATATTTAAAAATTAGAATGATTGATCAAGAGTTACTAAGAATATAATTTGATCCTGAGAACCCTTTTAGGCTTGATCTAATCTAACATAGTCTGGCTGGGGACATTAGGCCAAACATTACTTAGGAGGTAACCCAAGCATTATCATTTGATTTAAGTATATTTTGTATATTTTTGCATTGCATTTTTCTTTGAATTTTTTTTTTTTTTGTGTGTGTGTTAGATTAAATATTTTGATTGTGAGACCTTTTCCATGCTTTTTTAAATTTGAGGTACAATCCATAAATTTTACTATGATATATTCATATGATGCACTTTATGTTATGTTTACTAGCACACTTACCTATTCTAAAATGTAATTCACTATTATACATGCATTCTTCTTTTCTTTCTCGTATTCTCTCATACGACATGTATATAATAGAAAATAAGTTTGAGGGATGGAATGATACTTGTACACTCGCTCGAGAGGTATTCCATAGGTAAGTTGTGAACTATAGTTTAATGTAGTAGCTCATGCTAGGAATTCTGAATATGATTATATTATTTAAGATTTTTATTAAAAGATGTTAATACTGTTGAAAAATATAATTAAAATTAATTTGCTGATAACTGAATTCTCCACTTTAATATCTGTTACCTAAATCCTAAAAAACTTTGGAATAATTAAAATAATGTAATTAAGATATAAGTATTTAACCAGAGACACTTTTAAGTGTTTTAGTTCTTAACTTTTAAATGTATTATAATATTTTAGAGTTTTCATTAAGAATCATTTGAGACTTATCAATCAGGGGAGATTAGAAATTTAAAATTCATAAAAAATAAGCTCAGCAGGATATATTAATTCTCAGTACAGTTAAAAAGAAAAAAAAGAAAATAAATAATTAAAAATTATGAAAGGCCAAATCCAAAGAAAAATTCAAAACTAGTAGCCAATCTCCCTGAGTAGAAGTTTGAGGTGAGCATGGAAATACAAAATAGATGTCCAAGTCATTTTCCTGTTAATAAGACTTAAATACTCTTCTAATGAAACTCTTATGATATTTTATTCAAGAAAAAGTTAAACGATTTTGAATTGGGTGGTTGATTATTAATTGATTTAAAAATATTTTTGAAAAATGAAAACAATCCAATCATGCCAAATTAAGAGTTCGAGATCTGTTTAGGATCACGAAAAAGAGAACTAAAGAAAGTGTTAGGTTATTAGACATTAATGAAAATCTACCCTGAGATGATATATGCATGCCTTTCATTTCACTTATATAATATATTTAGAAAATTACAGGGTCGCACATGAGAGCTCTAAATATCTTTTGAGTCCCAATTTAGATATGAGATTGCTTAAAGACAAGTAATGAGTAACTTTGGGAGAATTGAAACGAGGTAAAACTATATATTTTTTCTGCATTAAATTTTGTATTTTATTCCATATTTATCGTGATTTAATGCTTGTGGAAGATTCTTTATGGTATTTTATTATTTTACAGCTTACAGTTGTCGAACACACTTTAGGGAGCAGAAAGACGATGCAAGCTATTGAGTTTCCTTGGCACAATCGTGGCTAAATGCAGTGTAATTACATATGCATTGCTGTTATGCATTGCTGTTGGTCTGACATATTTACTCCAACATTTGACTTTGGCTACACCGACCATGGCGTCTTTAGGCCAATCTCAAGCATGGTCACACCACCATGCGATCAAACATATTTTTGGCAAGAAATTTCATTTCGATTTTGGTGAGAGCTATAAAATTAAAAGCACAGACACAACATAAGGGAAGTTGGGTAGAGTTCGGAGGCTTTCCTTGTCAGATTTTACAATTTTTTTTATAAAAGCCTCAGATTTTTCTTCCTCTTTACTCGAGGAGAAGCTCGTCGAGTCATTTTTATTTGAGCATTTGAGAGGTTTGCATGATAGGAAGAGACTGAAGGCTTTGTATGAGATTGATTGTGGAGAATTCTCATTATAATTGAGAAGATTTAGTGGATTACAGAAAATAGTTGGCTTGTCGGTAAGTTCGTGTATTTTCTTTCATCAAAATCTTCAGTATGTTTAATGAAATTTTGTATTTTTCCATTGCCTGTCTTGTATCTAATCCTCTTACACGCTCATGTGATGTAAATATATTATTTTTATCATTAGATCTCTCTATGAGTTCTAATTTTCCTCGTATATACTTTTTGTGCTTTGGAATGATGCACGTTGATGTGTTAATCTTTTGATCGTTATTTACTTCTATTATGACCAGTTAGGTAGTTAAAACTCCTTGTGATCCAGGACTTCTAACAATTGCTTAAAAGAACAAGTAGGTTAACACACAATAACTTAGTCGAATAGATATATTGTTAGTAGGAAATTGCAACTTAGATAGAGTATCCAAGGAATTATGAAATATGGTGTATAGTTAAGACTCCCTTAGCTGTAATATGATTTTCAACTCTCTTTATAATATAGACATAGGCTAAGGAGGAATGTGTCCTTGTCTGCCAACTATAACGTAGGGGAACACATGGGAAAACAAAGAGAAAAAAATATGCTAGTGGCACAGAAGCACGTGCCTCTTTATCTCTGAAGGACTTAATACTTTTACTTGGTATTTCTATTCATCGCCATTTTTGCCTATTGCTCTTTTAAGATGTTTAGATTTCCATTCCTGCCTTTTGATTACTCCAAACTAGATTCAATGATTTGGTAAAACATAACTTCGCCTATTAGAAATAGTTTGACACATTCTTATGGGACGATACACATACTCTTTTATCCATATATTACTTGACCGACATATATTCTTACACGATTGACCAAATTGCCTCACATTAATTTTGTGCATCAGGAAGATTTTTGAAATCTTTGAAAATTACTAGATCAATTCCTACTTTTACTTTGGCCACAAAAAAACACAAGCAACTACAACAAAGAGTTGAGCAAAAGTTGAACAAATTTTGGAAGGGATAATTTTTCATCCATAAACAACATGCTACACAATGATTTGAGCTTTCACAACAAAATTAACAGAATCATGAAGAGCAAAATCGATGTTAATTTGACCATTGACTCTTTCAAAGGTAAGGCGTGATCTATAAGTTTTGAGTGGATCCACAAACAAATGAACACATATTTTTCTAGCTATATAAGATATATTATTCTCTGTCCAATAGTGAAGCGACATATTATGAAGTTTCACCCATATAGAAACAACTTTAAAATCTTCACTTAATATAATCATTGATCACTTTTTAAAAATAAATTGTCTGCTATAGATAAACCGTAGACCACACATTAACACCATATAAAAATCCTCTATAAGGTAAAACTTAAAAGAGAAAAATCTTCGGTAAGAGATAATAAGTCAATAATATCTTTTAACTTTCACATCATATTGCCAGAAAAATCACGCTCGTCGAGCACACAACCGACCAATGCTAGGCTCCAATGTCTGGAGTCTCCTTTCCACTTCTTGATCAAAGAAATAGACTTGGTCGTCCGCATAAAATATATAAGAAAGAGAGAAGTTAGATGGGATATAGATACTGGAGGATAAAAGCCATTGCTAGCTTAGAGAGGGACCTTGCTCAAGAAGAAGAACGAAGTGGAAGGAAAGAAGATATCTCCCCACAGGAGCAAAAGGAACACGTGGATAGTAGACTACTACATATTAAAATAAGGTGAGATGATAAAAAATTAATAATAAAATATTTAAAAACTCTTTTTAAATTAAATTTTAACTTTTTTTTTAAATAGAATTAAAAAAAAAATTGCTGTCGTGAGGCAATTTGCAGCTAATAAAGTTGCCGGTTTTGTTTCGACATCTCACAGTGTAGCACCGTCCTTTTTTTTTTTTATAATTTCTATTTTTTTGTTATGAAAACTCGTAATTAGGCACGTGATGGTGAGGTGGCAGGTCAGAACAAATTACTTAAACTTTTTTGAGAAATTATTATTTTAAGAAATTACAGGTGGCGATAAAATATTGGATGGAAGACTTTTTTGGCTTTTGTGCTCTAGATAGACAGCCAGACATTTTTTGAAGAACAAGATTTTTTTTTTTTAATTATTATTTCGACAGCGCCGATCTTATCATACCCATTGACATACAGAATTTAATCGTTTTAGCCATCGGGATTCCACTTTATTTAAATTCATTTTGTATTTAAAACATAAATCCTTGCTTGTATCGCTGAAGAATTTTTCTAATTTTATTGTAATATGATTCAGAAAATATAATTATTGTTCTTAATATAAATCAAACATATATATATATATATATATATATATCTATACTCCTAAAAATGCTAGCTGTAACAAAGGCCGACTGACCGCTTCATTCGGCCGGCCACCAAAGCCGACCGGTTGGCCACATGCCTCATGGATTCAGCAACCAAAATGTCCTTAAGACGACCGAAGATTCGGTAGACAACAGAAGGTCATCCAGATTACCAAAGGTCTGCTAGACCATCGACGCTTCGTCAGAAGACTTAAGAATTGCAAGAGGACCAAATGTCCGCCAAATTACTGAAGCCATGGTATACGATCAAAGGTTCGTCGTAAAACCGACTAATTGCTAGATGACGAAAGGATCTTCCCAGCCGACTAGAAACAAGCATCCATGCCAACGATCGGGCAAAGGCTCAGGTACAAAAAAGGATGCCAAAATCAATTATAGATATGAAGAGACACGGTAAAAGACAAAAAAGACTTGTCACCCCCGATTAAAGTAGAGGTGACTATATAATTTAACTCATTGATTATAATACTCTTTCCTTATGTTTTATCATTGCATCTTGTTATGCAAATTTCTTATTATTATATGACTATTGTAGAGCTTATGATAGCATTGTCATGACACTCCATTGTTATAATGATGATTTAATTGTGCATATTGATTTACAAAACTCATATATTGCATGAAAATGTGAGGACAATCCATAAGCAAGTGTTGTTGCTAAAAATAGTACTTTATAAGGCATTGTGACTTTCATTAGATGGTAATTTGATTTTATAGATTCTCGTTCAAATTTTGGGGTATGGTGTGAACTTAGATGTAAGGAATTGTATTAATAATGTTAAACAAGCTACCCTTAAACTTTGCTGAATGAAATGTCTATTGATTGTATGCTTCTGATGAACTTAGTCATTTTCTTGTGCGTTGGACTAAGTACTCAAGATAATATTATTCTTTTACAACAAAATGAATTGGTATTTACATAATAATATTGTTAATATTTAGACTTTTATCATTGAAATTTTCTCATTTCACTTAAGTGGAACGAAGAGTTAGGATAAGGCATGACTGTGTGCAATTTAAGTCTTGATTTTTGCATGCATTTATTTTTTTAGTCAAGAAGGTCAACTAAGTGTCATCATTATACTCCTTTAATTTTATTCTGGTTATAAGTTCATAAGGCTAAAACTTAATATATTTGAGTACTTGCTTGCTTATTTATTAGTTCATTATCTTATTATGGAGTTCTTCAAATTAGTGCCATGATTTTTCAATTACTTTTATGAGTATCTCAATTTATTGGCAATTCATCAACTCCAGTTAAAGCTCATTCATTTCTTGACCTGATCCTAGTCTCCTTCAATTCTTGAGTGCTCTCTTTTCTTAATTGAGTAAAAGCTAATTTCTAAACCAATTTTTTGTCCTCACAATCTTATGTAAACAATTTGAGGGAGAAGATATATTATCCATTTTGTTCTTCTTGATAGAAATACAGTGCCTCCAAACTAATCTAAGAATTAGAGTCTTGTGTTGCTATATTATTTCTTAGGGTTGCCTCATCTGAAAAATTATTAGGTGCGGAGAGCGCATGTAGAGCTGCCTGTGCCCTCCGATCACAGCCGCACATTTCGGCTGCATGATACAGCCGCGATGTGCAGCTGTGATCGTAGGGCGCACGTAGCTCTGCGTGCGCTCTCCACACACAATAATCGCTTGTGGTTGTGTTTGAGCCTTAAGAAAACCTAAATTAACAAACCAAATAACACTGAAAGTGGCATGATGCATGGATCAACAATTTAAAATATTTTATTATGTTGTTCATAATATTTTATGGAGGGAGCCAAAATATAAGATAGTTAAGATTAAAGATTTGAATGTAATACATGTAAAAATTGAAAGTTTAAACACTTTATACATAAATATGTAAGAATTGTGTGGTTTATGTAAATGCCCCAACTCCATTAAATTTATCTTGTATTAAGTATAATATGAAAATAATTTATCATAATTAAAAATTTCTCATTTTTTTATTTATAAAAAAGAATTCCAAAGTACAGATTCTCAAAAAATTTAAAAGTAAAAATAACAATATATATATATATATCCTTCAATATCCTTCAATATGGATAACAGCTATAACAGCTGAGGAAGGTCAACCTTATCCATAGATCCCTCTTCCCATTTTTTCATCTCTAACAAACTCAATGGAGGCCCTATCACTCAACATCCCAGTCCAAGTAGGCTAGGCCGGCAAGGAACAGAAAAAATATGTATATTTTTCTTTAAAATAATATTTATACGAAAATTCCTACCTTTTATTTATTTTTATATCAAAACTTTGTATAATTTTAATACATAAACCTTTATCAAAGAATAGACCTCATATCTTCAATAACTTTTATAAGCAATTTCACATATAATTTTAATCCTCCAAGCTACAAAAAGTAAAAATGAAAGAATTACATCCATTAGTTGAGAGCTTAAACTTCAACCAAAATGCCTTTAATTCAAATCCTTGCATATACGATTTTACGAGTATTTGCCGGGCAGCTAACAAAGGAATGAGAAGACATCACCTGTAGATTTTTCTTCAAGAAAATTCAGATAATTGCACACACAGCACTTGAACATTCCTATTTATAAAATTAACACCCACCGTGATTTTTTTGAATTACCAAACCGATGCATTTATTCGTGGCACAACAAAATCATTTAATTTGATAAATATGAAAAAAAAAAATTTTATCTACAAATTTGAAAAATGGATGAAAAAAAGTGCTATATTTGTAAATACAATGTTTCAAGTGGTATATATACCCTAATCATACAAACATTTCTAAAAACTAAAAAAAGGAAGAATTACATACATTAATAAATATTTAGGACCACTATATATACAAATTGAATAACAAAGGAAATAAATGAAATAAAAGAAAAGATTAATAAAGAGTGTTATATGTAAGATATGTAGCAGCAATAGAGGCTATACAGATTAAAAGAGAGGGAGCGAGGGTGACGTTAAGAAGCAGGTCTTCCCTCAAATAGCCAGCTAAGGTGATGGTGGCATCAGCGACAACTCTGGCTAAAGTTCCTGCTTGAGTTGAGAGTAATCCACCATTATAGGTTCCACGAGAAAGCCTTGAGGGCATTACTCTCGACATAAGAGATAGGTTCACGCCTGCAACAATTTTATTATTACATTCTAAAGACAAACATCAATAGAATTTTCCAAATTTAACAATATATTTTGCACATTTTATGTACTAATTACCATCCATATAAAATCATGCAGTTGAGGTGAATACAATACATAAATGATCAATCAAAATTCATATTAAATTTATCTAAAAAATCACTAATGTGATATTTAACTGTAAAATAATAAAAAAGATATATTCCAATAGCATCCACATTCAGAAACCGTGAAGAATGGTGGCTTGTATTTGAGAAATGAATGCAAGTGTGTGTGGGTGTGTATTAATCTTCAATGCCACCAATTTTTTTTCAACTAATACTTCAACATTAAGAAAAAAATTCAAGGTTACCTTCAAGAACTTCAGCAGCCACGAATGTGAGAAGAGCCGATAATACATATTGTGTCGCACAGTATGAAGGAGTGACGCGAAAACTTAAAATAACACCCACCAACACCATGATTTCAGATGCAAATAAAATTTGCCTGCAAAAAATAAAAGAAATAATGATAAATATTATCAAGATTTGCTTAATATTATCATGATTTGCTTAATACAATTGTACAACATTATATAACAATGTTATAATACGGATTTCTTCTAGGGGAAAAAACAAATTAAATAGATATAATTAGTTGAGAAGTTTACAAGTTTATCAAAGTGCATCATCTTAATGACTCAATAATTAATTAGGATATTTTAAGTCAATAAATTTTAATATTTACTAAGAATTTTTAGGGATGTCAAATCCGGTTCACGGATCGGATTCTAGTCTGACCTGAAATTGACCCAACCTGAAACAGCTTGAGCCGAACCCGACCTAAACATTAAGAATTTTTAGGGATGTCAAATCCGGTTCACGGATCGGATTCTAGTCTGACCTGAAATTGACCCAACCTGAAACAGCTTGAGCCGAACCCGACCTAAACATTAAACAGATTAGAAAATCCAACCCAAACATGACTTGCCTTCAACACGCCAACTTGAACCCGATCTGCATAACCCGCTTAGCATAAAGAATAAATAGCTACTCATGTCAATCAAATTAGTTTCGAGTAAATCTCAGTTCAAATAAGGGTTAGCAAGCCAATTTCAAGTCAATTTAGAGTAGGTGGTCAGTTTTGGGTTAGAGGGTCAACTCAACCCGACCCAAAAAAATTAAAAAGGTTAAAATTTTTAATCTGAACTTGACACAAAATTTATTGGGGTTAACCTGAACTCGATTTTTCGAGTTGGGTTTAGGTCGAGTTGGTGTGTCATGTAATAACCGACTAAAATATGTGTGTAGTTTAGATTATATGTACCCCTCGCGGGAAACTAAGCTCATGCTTCTTCCATACTTCCTCTCATTCAAACCATTAAACGAGTGTGAGAGAGAGAAAGAGAGAGAGAGAGATGCCATGAGGAGAAAAAAAGAAGGTAATGCCTTGTTTGTGCAACCCGAGCCGACATCTTTGAGCCGAGCAACTTGTCTCCAAGTAAAGGAAGACGAGAAGGAGAAAGACACAATGATAGTGAAGGAGAGGAAGAAAAAATATGAGTCATGTGTTTCTTCTCCTACTCGAGATTTGACATCGTGCCCCGGCCATGAAGAGGAAAAGAGAGGCGACTCATTGTGGTGTTGAAGTTGAGTCACGCTCAAAGGAAAGAAGAAAAGAGGAAGAGTAGGCTCGTGCGTTCGAGTAGAGTTGAACCTCATGCGCAGAGGAAGGTTCTTCGCGAGAAGAGGGAGCTTGTACGCACAGGTTAGGGTAGTCGAGCAAACAATAAGATAAAAATTGGTATCAAAGCCAAGAGTGGCTGAATCTTTCTAGAACTCTTTTCTTTAAGTAATTTTAATATGGTGACCTAACTTTGTCAGGATAATATGCATTGTATTGTAAAGTCGGGTGTTGCTTTGCAACTCAATATCCTTGAGTGGCATACAAATTATACTAAGTTCTATGTTCTAGTTCGATTATATTATTACCCTAAACTATCTAAATCCGAGAGCCTTCATCGCAAGTGGTATTGTTTATGTCTAAGATGGACAAATTTTGTCGGGTTCTTGTTGACTCGACTTGTTAGGATTGAAAGTTTTTTGGTGCAATAATATCTTTCTCGCACTGTTGTTAGATAACCACAGTAAATTTATTTAAAAAAAAAAGAGTTCTAGATGTTTCTCTGATTGTCAGATGAACTCCCTCACGGTATAATAAAATAGACTATTGCTAAGGTGAAAAAGTCTATAATCTACAAAATAAAAACCTTTGATTTCAAAGGAAAATCTTCAATAAAAACTGTTACACAATCTTTGACTATGAGCTGAGAAAATTTAATAGTTACTTAGAAAATAATAGATATATTTTGCATTTAAAACACCTACATTAAAAAGGATTAAATGCAACAATTTTAGCCTACTTAAGAAGAGATGCAAATGCCACGATTGGGTACAATTATTATTCGAAGTGATGGACATTACCCTATGTCATGGACCAGCTTTCTTACAACCAAAACATGCACATTCAAGCATACTATGGACATTCCCTGCACGCCTACAGGCCGATCATCCTTCCCCCTGTAGCTTCCATACAACCGCAGACTCCTCTCCTTCTTCCTACTCCCTTGACAGCCCTTGCATCTTTTTTTTCTGAAGTCTGCCGACCCTCCCACAGCTCCCAGCCGATCTTCCAGCCAACAACCTTGCCTCTTGTAGCAGGCCGCTCCACTTCCTACACATGTTGGCCCTCTCCAGCAACAAGCTTTCCCACTTCTTGCACTTACTGCCCCTCTCCAGCAGTCTTCTGACCTTCGACGACATTTCCTGCTCTTTTCCGTTGCGGTACCGCGCCACTCCCATTGCTAATTTGCTGTATTACTTCTTCCACAGCAGCCCGACGTCTCTTCGGCCTTCACTGTAGCCACCGACCAAGCATCACCTCTCCAGGCTCTCTCCTCATTGTTCTTGTCGTGTATTCTTGTTGAGTCATTATTTGTAACCCCTTGTTGCTTTGTGTGTGTCTTCCTTTGATTTGAGCTTTTGTTGTAACTTGGTTTTAAGTCAGTAATAAAACGGTGTCTTGAGCCATGGCTTGGGTAAACTCCAATATCAAAGAAAAATTAATATAAATAATTTTTAGAATTAATATAAATAACTTTTTTCATTTATGTGCGTCTATATCTTAACATTCATTCGTTAGTATCATTAGAGACGATCCATCATAACCAAACATGCACATTCAAGCATACTATGAAAATCACTATTTAATAATGATTATTTTATTCTCATTTTCATAGCTGTCAATATATTCATATAACATTCAATATCTATGATAATTTAAACAATGCTAATTACATATATTGTTCCTATAATATGAAAAAAAAATTCAATAGAATTATAAATCACGAGTTTGCAGTGATTTCAATAACTACTGACAGTAACAATAAATACATTTGAGCTAGAGGAAACAAAAACATTACTAAAACATAAAAACATTAATACTCACCTCAATATCGTTTTACCTACTTTGTAGATTTTCAGTCTTCCATTCTGACTTCATCTTATTTAAAAATATTCACAATAATTACCTATTTAAGTGGTCATTTTATGCATATATCAACGTTCAATTATTTAATTTAAATCCAAACATCTTAATTTCTATTTATCTTAAAGTGATCATTATTTATTATTATATGTATGAATATATATATATGTTTTACTTCTGTAGTTAAAAAAGTTCTAAATTAAAAATTTACCTTAAACATATCTCAATTAATCTTTGATTTAATTAAACCTACTATTAACAACTAATAATTAAACATATATATGAAATCAATAAATTAATATTTTTAAAACCCTTACCTTAATAAGCCATGGTTCGATCTAGATGCAGGCTCAGCTCCATATGAATCAATCCCACGCACACTGGCTCCTCCTCTCTTCTCCTGCTTGATGCTTCTTCACCTTTTTCTTTTTCCAGCAGAATAAAGTCGCATGAAGCTTCTTCGTACTCGACGAAGCTTGAATACTCAATGGAAGGTTCCTTCTCAACAAAGTCGGAACACCAGAGGATGTCACCTCCTTCGACTTCGATTACCAATGTCGTCTTTCCCCTTTGATAGGCTCTGCTCTACTTCAAAGCTCGGTCCCTCTTATCCCACACACTCATGATCTCCCCCTTCTTCCTCCTCTTCCTTTAATCTTGGCGCAACCCAGCACAACACACAAATCCTTCCTCCTTTCTCTTTGCACCAAAGTCGTGCCTCGGACCCTCAACGACACACAAAAAGTATGTTGTTTGCCTCCTTTTCTCCGTTAGCTGCTCACGACATTCTACCGAGCCACTCGTCTACTTCTTCCTCTGCTTTCTATTACACTTTCGCCCTCACTCTCTGCCTTTGTCTCTCGCATGGCTAGTTTTTGGTTTGAACGAACGAGGGAATAAATCCTTCATTCTGATTTGAGAAGCATCACGTCTGATTCAAATAGGTGTCCAGAGAAGGAATTAAATTTCATTTTATTTATTTATTTTGTTATTATACATCTTTCGTTGTTGGCTTGTTGATTAGTAGTACCCCCTATTTCTTCAAACTTGAAATTTGAATTTTCTAAATTAACTAAATCCATGATTGGATTAGACATTTTGCAGTCACTCTACTATTTCTTCTCCAAGCAATACAATAGTTGTATTTGCAAATGCAGCAAAAGAATATTCTAGTGAGGAGAGTGATGATGAATCCAGCCAGGTTCAATCTCAAGAATCTATTCTAGGTTGTTATGATTTCATGGATACAAAAATTTAGCGGATATATTTTCATTAAGGAACTAATAATAACATTTTTTTCATTCTCCAAGATTTATTAGAGTTTAAGCAAGATGCAATGATTCCAGTGTTGATTTTGGCATTTTGGACTAAATTAGTGCCTGAATGTCAGCATGACCAACTACTTTAACATAGTTAAGACTCTCTATCCTTTTAATTAGCTTGATTTGATGTATTTTTTAAATTTTTTTATGACAGTTTTTATGTAACTATGTCATCATGTATCTTCTTTAATGATCTGTTACAAAATTTTGATTTTTAAGAAGAAAAGGAAAACTTGTGGCATAGCCAAATGATGGGGTTCAATCAGTGAACCTCTTGCTAGGAAGAATCAAATAACGTTGATATTTCAATACCAGGATCCAAACTTAAGACTTGTAAGTAGAATTTTGCGCTCCTATTGATAATAATATAAAACAAACATCATCTTAGAATTTACCAATGTCTGTGCAGCTTTAAACATCTTGCTAACGCTTTTTGCAGTACTATAAGACAACCGAATTGGATGTTCTCCACAACATAACAAATATTAAGAGCTCAGGTCGTGACAAAAGAATGTTTTTAGCATGTTGTTTACGTCATTAAAGAAAGCAAGAGATTCGACCATAATTAACATGCTTTTCTTCACATTAAAAAACATACCAACTAATCAAAAGTTATTGATTTGTTACCTGTCTTCAAACATGTTAGTTATGTAACTTCCAACCACAACATTGACGGGCAGGACTGTTAGCCCAAGGATTGCTAAAAAAATGGCCAATGCACTCGTATTCCAACCAAAATATAATGTGGTCACAAGGCTTGATTCCGATAGCAAAATCTCCATTGCATACTTTAGCATAAAATAAATTAACAATTGAGCCTACATAAAAAAAATATATCAATCAGAAATCTCATCTAAGTGCCATAAGAACATACTTGATCTCTGTAAAAACTTGTCAGATGAAGAACCGAAGTATTTTTCAAGAAACCTCTGCAATAAAGATAATTAAAAGTTCCAACGAATGAAGCATACATAAATGTAGAACGAATAACAACTATAAGCATCCTACAACCAAGTGAAAAAACGATTGGATAGTTTAATAATAATAGTAATAGTAAACAATATCAACAAGAATGACAATAACAATGATAACATCGTGTAACAATAACTCCAATAATAATAACAATTATAATGAGTACAGAAAAATAATAAGGGCTTTAATTTTAGTAGCAATAACTTGCCTACCATACTACAACTTGAAAATTTTCAACCTATTAATATAATACTGCTCTAATCCTATATAACAGTATATAACTAATAAGGGTTCGTTGTTCTCAAAGTTAAAAGCAGACCTTTACACCTGGTGTTAACAATCTATAAGCTGAAGCAATTGAATTTGCTGGTACTTTTAAAGGCTTTTCACTGTCCCCACATGCTTGGCCTTCAGCTTCAACTTGACTTTCTTTCGAACTAGACAACAATGATTGGCAAAGTCCATTTTCCATTTCAGCACTTTCATCGCCTCCTGAATTTCAAGATAAAATTAAGTTGTTATGTTATAACAATTAATCAATTAACTTGAATTTAAGAAATAATTTTTTGATATAGAGTCAATTTTAAAAATTCAATTATATAAATAAATGGCTGGTTTAACAAATAATAGAAAATAAAGAATGAATACCATCCGCCATTTATTCAGTATATCATGTCCCCATGAAGTTTGAACAATTTAGTAGCATGATAAAATTCAATTTCATTAATCTTCGTCAAAACACACAAACTTCCTTCTCTATTGTTTTCTTTGAATTAAATTTATAAACATCATGAAATTATTTTGAAATACAGGAAGGTTTTATATTATTACTAAGTCTAATAAGTAAAAGATCATGATTTAATGTATATCATAGAAGATACATTAGAGAAGAATAAAGAAAACGCATTGATAGATTAAGAAAGCACACATGTTGTAAAAGAAGTTGAGCAACTTTTAAAGCACTTATTATTTGAAACTAGTAAACTCTAAAACAATTATCCTTTATCCAAATAAATTGTGAATTTTGAATAATCATTTTTCTCACTTGAAAACATAGATAATTCAACTATAAATAGGCGAGTACAAGAAAATAGAAAGAAGAAAGAAATCTTCCTAAAATTAAGTAATTCCTATAATTACGGAATAAACATAAATACCTATAATTAAGGAATTACCCTTTTATACTATGACTAAATATAACAAGTACTAAAACAAGTACTAAATAAATAGAATTAAAGTAAATAATAAGGAGCCTAATTCCACACTCCCCTCAAGGTGGGTTGTACAGATTGTATATACCCAACTTGTTGGTTAGCTCATCAAAACTTGACTTAGGGAGAGCCTTGGTGAGAATGTCTGCGGTTTAGTCTCTAGAAGGAGTATAGACCAATTCAATAATTCCATTGTCCACCTCTGAAATGAAATTCCGATCAATCTCAATGTGTTTCGTTCGGTCATGATGAACAGGATTCTTTGTGATACTGATTGCTGCTTGATTGCCACAGAACACCTTGATAGAATTTTTTCCCATAATTCCAAGCTCCTTGAGAAATCTTTTGATCCACATTCCTTCACAGATACCAAGCGCCAGTGCTCTGTATTCTGCTTCTACACTACTCCGAGATACCACCGATTGCTTCTTCTCCATGTCACTAGATTGCCGCATACATAAGAGCAATACCCAAAGGTTGATCGTCGGGTGGATATATCTCCTGCCCAGTCAACATCAGTGAAGATTTCTACCTTTTGACTATCGTTCCTTTTGAATAATAATCCTTTCCCAGGTGTCGTCTTTAAGTATCTTAAGATACGGTTGACAACTCCCATATGTTCCTCAGTAGGACAGTTCATGAATTGACTTACTATACTTACTGAAAAACTTATGTCTGGTCTGGTGTGAGATCTGGTGTGGGTCTGGTGTGCAATAAGTAAATAAGTCTTCCAACAAGCCGCTGATATCGTCCTTTGTCGACAGGTAAACTATCATTCTCCATTTAATCCAACAGCAGATGAACTTCACGTCTATTGGAGTATCTATTAGTTTGCATCCAAACATACCAGTTTCTTTCAAAAGGTCCAATGTGTACTTCCTTTGAGTTACGGCTATCCCCATTTTGGATCTTGCAACTTCCATTCCCAAGAAGAACTTAAAGTCTCCAAGGTCCTTGATTTCAAATTCATGGGCTAGAAGCTTCTTCAGCTTTGTCAATTCTTCGATGTGATCACCGGTAAGAATGATGTCATCAACATACATAATAAGTACAACAATCTTCTTCTCGGATCTTTTTGTGAACATTGTATGATCAGTCTGGCTTTGAGTAGAACCGTACTTGATTACTGAATTGGTGAATCGGGCAAACCAAGCATGAGGAAATTGTTTGAGACCATACAGAGATTTCTGGAGCTTGCATACTTTGCCACTAGGGAAGGACCCTTCAAAACCAGGCGGTAATTCATGTATACATCCTCTTCAAGATCTCCATTAAGGAATGCATTTTTGACATCAAGTTGCATAAGAGACGAGTCTCGGGTGGAGAGTAGGATTCTAATGGAGTTCAGTTTGGCTACTGGGGCGAATGTCTCTTGGTAGTCAATTTCGTATGACTGAGTATAACCTTTTGCAACCAGTCGGGCTTTTAACCGATCTATACTTCCGTCTGCCTTACATTTGATTGTAAATAACCACCTGCATCCTACTGGTCTCGTATCCTTGGGCAAATCAGACACAATCCACGTTCCACTCTTTTCTAGTGCAGCAACTTTTTCATTCACAGCTTTTCTCTATTCCGGGTGTGAGAGAGCTTCCTGAATAGAATTCAAAATCTTTATGCTGTCAATAACAGTAACAAATGCATGATAGGTAGGAGATAACCTCTCATATGAAACAAATCGGGCAATAGGATGTTGAGTGCAAGGAACATCAGAATCATCTTTCACAGGCGGGGTAAGCTCATAATCGCTAGTGTCTATAAATGTTTCAGAGGGTTTTGGAGCCAGATTAGATTCTTGGACAGCAGCTGGAAGCGGTGTTAGGTTCACTATTCTTTTAGCAGTTCTGTTTCGTCTTGTATAGACCCGAAGGTCCTGAGGAGTTGGTTGTGTAGACTGAAGAGCTTGAATAGGAGACGATGTGGGTTGTATAGACTGAGGAGGTTGAATAAGAGATGGAGGAGGTTTGACAGTTGGTGAGGGACCTGTGTCAGTTGGTAAAGGAACACGGGGCTGTTGTTCACTACAACTACTCCCCACCTGAATGACAGGCCCTTGGTAGTATAATTGATGCTAAAAAAAGGTGACATCCATAGAGTTATAGACCTTTTTAGTTGAAGAACAATAACACTTGTAGCTTTTCTTGTTGGTCGAATACCCTATGAATATGCATTTGACAGATTTGGGGTCTAATTTACTGCGGTGTTGTTTGTGAATATGAACAAAGACGGAGCAACCAAATAGTTTGGTAGAGACAACTGAAGAGAGTGTCTGAAGATTTGGAAAGGAGCGAAGGAGGACATCAATTGGACTACGGAAACCCAGAGTACGAGGGGGCATCCGATTTATGAGGTAGGCAGTCGATTTATGAGTCGATTTATGAGGTAGGCAGCGGTCAGTGTTGCCTAGCCCCAATAACATTTAGGGATCAATGTGGTAAACATGAGACAGCGGACTACCTCCAACAAGTGACGATTTTCGGCAACCTCATTTTGTTTGGGAGTATCAATACACGTGCTAAGGTGAAGGATGTCATGTTGAGTAAAAATAGTTCCTAGGGAGGTATTGAAAAAATCTCGTGCATTATTTATTTTAAAAGCTTGGATTTTTGTGTCAAATTGAGTTAGTATCATTTGATAGAATGCACGAAATATTGTCCTACCTCGAATTTGTCACGCATAAGATAGATCCATGTCACCCGTGTGTGCTCATCAATAAAAAACACGAACCATTGGGCCCCAAAAATATTTTTTTCATGAGGACCCCAGACGTCACTATGGATCAGAGAAAATGGACGAGTGAGTCTGTATGATAAATGAGGAAATGAAGTACGAGTGTGTTTGACATGTTGACAAAATTCGCAATTAAAAGAGGTAGGACTTATTAATAAATAAATGAGGAAACAGTTTCCCTAGATACATAAAATTGGAATGACCTAAACGATAATGAAGAAACATGATTTCACTATCATTATTAACGCTGGAATGAAATATAGATGTACTAAGCGGATTTAAGCAAGACAGGCTTGTTGGCATCATTTTTTATTTTTGATGTCATGTG